CATGGGACCAACACTTTACATCTTGCGTTTATATTTTTGTTCAGTATATATTTCCATTTTAATAAATGTATCTGGTATCGGGCTTCCTTCAGGTGAGGCTTGTGGGCGTCCTAGAGCAAAAAAAAAAAACATGTATGTGTTCGTGAGAGACTCACCTTTCCATAGAGGGGTAGATGCCTCTTGGTCTGACAAACACAGCTGTAGCTCTGCCACCTGTCACCGCAAATATGGAAGGCCGATATCGGTGGATGCGGTGAATTTAGACGCAGCCCATGCAAAAAAACTGATTATTTTACTATGCAAATTAGATTTCTGCAGGGCTACAGAAATTGACTCAAGGGTTTTAAAGGAAAACCCACCCCAGTCTTCTGAAAACCTAACCCTCGGATACAGTTATTTGTCAGCAAGACAATTACACATTTAATGCCAGAGATACACCTGAATGGCTTTCCAACAGGTGTTGAATGTTCCTGAGTGGTCTAGTCTCAGTCCTGACATCCGGAAAAATCTAAACGTGATCCTTGGGACAAGTGGCGGTCAGCGCCGTTTATGATGAGGGTGGACAATTTTATTTTTCATGAGCATTGCCTTATTTCTATTACAGGATGTTGGATGACTGTCATTCATATTCCATTCACCAAGTTCAATGTAACATCGATAGGTTTATGCTACTACATGATCCAGGCTCTGTCGTAGCCGGCCGCGACCGGGAGACCCATGGGGAGGCGCACAATTGGCCCAGCGTCGTCCAGGGTATGGGAGGGAATGGCCGGCAGGGATGTAGCTCAGTTGGTAGAGCATGGCATTTGCAACGCCAGGGTTGTGGGTTCGATTTCCCACGGGGGGCCAGTATGAAATAATAAAAAATAAAATAATAAAATAATAATGTATACACTCACTAACTGTAAGTCGCTCTGGATAAGAGCGTCTGCTAAATGATTAAAAATGTAAAAAATGTAAAAATACTCAAATTTTCCCAATACCCATCATGAGGTTAGCCTATGAATGAAAGTTTACAACGTAGGTGCACACATGTTGAGAGAAAAATGTGAGATGACAGACAGTGACACATGGACAGACAGTGACACATTCAATACCACCTTGCACACTCTTGCCTGCATCTAGCTTATCTAGGGTGTAATCATTAGTCCAACAGTTGGAAACTAGAGTTTCTATTGGACAAATTTGGGTATTTTTATCCCCGTTTCGTTTGCTTCCGTTTAAGAAACATTTTTCAACAGAATCGGCGGAATGAATACACCCCTGATCACATGCAAACACAGTTCACTTTCATAGCAGCCATGTTGTATTCCTTCTTGCCTCTATGCACTCTCCTCCTCTCACCTTTTTCCTTCGTTTGTGGACTTCAATGAACAACGCATCAGCTGTATGTGACCAGGCGAAATAAACATTACAAACCATGTCATAACCACTACACACAGCCTACATTGTTGTCCCCATATTAGCTAAAGTATCGTCCTAGTCAACATAGCTAATAGAACTAATAAGTTAGTAAACCCGCTACAATCATACAGTAACGTTACAGTGTATAGTCATTAAGCAGTTACACCGGCGGGCCACGGTGGCAATAAATTAATAAAACCAAAAGCTTACCTTGACTTGGATGAGTTCCAGTGTTGTGTTGGATAGTCATAGCCAGCTAGCTAACATAGCATCCCTCTGTTTGAGCAGGGTGTTTGAGTAACTAATCTAGCCAGCTACATTTGCTAGCTAAGTAAGTGAAACTGAAAGTAAAAAAAAAAATATAATCTCTCTCTCTCTTGCTTCTCCTTCATTTTTGAAGAAATTATTTTGTTGAAAACTGTTCAACTATTGTCTTTCTCTCTCTTTGGGTCAACTACTCACCACATTTTATGCACTGCAGTGCTAGCTAGCTGTAGCTTATGCTTTCAGTACTAGATTCATTATCTGATCCTTTGATTGGGTGGACCACATGTCAGTTCATGCTGCAATAGCTCTGATAGTTTGGATGATGTCCTCTGGAAGTTGTCATAATTACTGTGTAAGTCTATGGAAGGGGGTGAGAACCATGAGCCACCAAGGTTTTGTATTGAAGTCAATGTACCCAGAGGAGGACGGAAACTAGCTGTCCTCCGGCTACACCATGGTGCTACCCTACAGAGTGCTGTTGAAGATACTGTAGAACAGGGTTCTTCAATTCCGGTCCTGGAGGGCCGAAACACTTCTGTTTTTTATTTCTACCTGGTAGTTAATTGCACTCACCTGGTGTCCCAGGTCTGAATTAGCCCCTGATTAGAAGGAGAGGATGCAAAACAGAGGTGTTTCGGCCCTCCAGGACCGGAATTGAAGAACCCTGCTGTAGACCTTCATTGCAAAACAGTGTGTTTTAATAAATTATTTGGTGACGTGAATATATTTAGTATAGTTTTATCTAAAAAGGATAACTTTTTCTATATTTTACCATTTTAATTTTTATGAAATTCACTGAGGAGGATGGTCCTCCCCTTCCTCTGAGGAGCCTCCACTGCTTGGGATGTCCCTGTCCCAACTATGACCTCACCCCATTGAAGTTGAAATGGACGTTCTAAATGGAACACAATCTACTAACGATATACCACTGTCAGGCCGACGTCGGTGAGTTGTATGTGTGCTGTCTGGGTAGCCACGGGGCGTAGCTGAGTGGCATAGACCACCACAGCCATGATAAAAGATTATTTCCCAAAACATCAATTTCTAAATATAACATGATGCTACATTCACTAACACTGGTTGTCAAGTGGCATTTTAGGCGTTCTCTGGTCGTTAGTTATTTTCGTATTGACTGCCATGTAAAGCAAAACTACCCAATGTTGGTAAAGTAGGGGTATAGCTTTAAAACACTAAAGTTTAAAAAAAATTGGAAAATGTATGCACTCACTAACTGTAAGCCGCTCTGGATAAGAGCGTCTGCTAAATGACAACAAACAAAAAAGTGCATTATGGGTAACGTAGTAAGTTAACTTTCGTTTTTTGATGTAATTGATGTGTGACGGAGATGTAGCCGAACTGTGAGCCACGCTCTTTTTGTTCCGTTAGCCCACTATTTTATTTTGTCATACAGACTACCTTACATGGTGCACAAGTTTAATAAATGTCAACTACTTCAGTGGAATTCCAGACTAACTCATCATTAGCAGCGGATAAGATCCCCAAATGTGGGAATTACCCCAAATTGCTCTGGCCCTGGAGCTAGCAAGTGAAGGCTCCCCTGAGCCGTACCCACTACGGTCTGGAGGCGAGGCAGGAAAAGTAACACTGGGGGATTGTCCGGGATTTATCCTGCCTGCATCGGTGAGTTATTCACATTCTACCGGAATATCAAGAAGAAAAAATACAAATACAAATAGAATTGGACTTTCACAAGGTAACGGCTAACGAATTTAATCATCATTGTTTGAGTAGTGGCTGACGTTCTAGCTAAAGTTGTGAAATGGCGGCTACACACAGGAAATCTGTTAAAGGAGCTCTCCAAACAGATCAGGGACAAAGTTGTGGAGAAGTACAGATCAGGGTTGGGTTATAAAAAAAGACCAGAAACTTTGAACATTCCACGGAGCACCATTAAATCCATTATTAAAACATGGAAAGAATATGGCACTACAACAAACCTGCCAAGAGAGGGCCACCCACCAAAACTCACGGACCAGGCAAGGAGGGCATTAATCAGAGAGGCAACAAAGAGACCAAAGATAACCCTGAAGGAGCTGCAAAGCTCCACAGCGGAGATTGGAGTATCTGTCCATAGGACCACTTTAAGCTGTACACTCCACAGAGCTGGGCTTTACGGAAGAGTGGCCAGAAAAAAGCCATTGCTTAAAGAAAAAAATAAGCAAACACGTTTGGTGTTCGCCAAAAGGCATGTGGGAGACTCCCCAAACATTTGGAACAAGATACTCTGGTCAGATGAGACTAAAATTGAGCTTTTTGGCCATCCAGGAAAACGCTAAGTCTGGCGCAAACCCATCACCTCTCATCACCCCGAGAACACCATCCCCATAGTGAAGCATGGTAGTGGCAGCATCATGCTGTGGGGATGTTTTTCCATCGGCAGGGACTGGGAAACTGGTCAGAATTGAGGAAATGATGGATGGCACTAAATACAGGGAAATTCTTGAAGGAAACATGTTTCAGTCTTCCAGAGATTTGAGACTAGGACGGAGGTTCATCTTCCAGCAGGACAATGACCCTAAGCATACTGCTAAAGCAACACTCAAGTGGTTTAAGGGGAACATTTAAATGTCTTGGAATGGCTTAGTTAAAGCCCAGACCTCAATCCAATTGAGAATCTGTGGTATGACTTAAAGATTGCTGTACACCAGCGGAACCCATCCAACTTGAAGGAGCTGGAGCAGTTTTGCCTTGAAGAATGGGCAAAAATCCCAGTGGCTAGATGTGCCAAGCTTATAGAGACATACCCCAAGAGACTTGCAGCTGTAATTGCTGCAAAAGGTGGCTCTACAAAGTATTGACTTTGGGGGGTGAATAGTTATGCACGCTCAAGTTCTCATTTTTTTGTCTTATTTATTGTTTGTTTCACAACATTTTTATTTTGCATCTTCAAAGAGGTAGGCATGTTGTGTAAAAAAATGATACAACCCCCCCCAAAATACATGTTAATTCCAGGTTGTAAGGCAACAAAATGGGAAAAATGCCAAGGGGGTGAATACTTTCGCAAGCCACTGTATGAGATAGAGTGATCTGCATACACAATGGACACTGAGGGAGAACAGGACTCCATCAGTGTGGAGGTCTTCTCTAACGCCATGTGAGATGCCGGCATTGTGCAGAAGCTACTGGAGAAGCATCCACGCACATTGGCATGAGCCTACGAGGTCGCCCACAAGTACCAAACCACCAAGCGAGCAGCTAACAGTGTTACTCAACTAATGCAGTCTGGTGTGCGAACTACAGAGCAGAGAGTCAGAGCAGCTACCTTACAGGAATGCATCGACCACAGCAAAGATGAAGACGAGAGTTAGATGACACCACCTGTAGAGCGGAGTCAGAAACCTCCAAAGTCCAGCTTCAAGCAACACAAACCAAAGACTGGTGAGTGCAAAAACACAAATTGTAATGGAATCAGATGCCACAACTGCCAAGGCATTGGACACAAGAAACGGAGCTGTCCATCACGAAGGACGCCAGCTAAGCCGCGGGCAGTCCCAGACTAGCCCAATTCCATGAAAGCCAAAACACACATGCTGTTCTCAGTGTCAAGGGCACAGGTCCCGAAATGTGTATCCCCCTACTAATGCACGACATGGAGGTATGTGCTCATTTAGACAGTGGGGCACGGAGAAATGTGCTGCCTTGGCACTGTTACGACACCATTCACCCAGACGTTAAACCTCCACTCCAGTTATCGACTGTGCAGTCTTTGTAGGGCATTGGTCCTGTAAATGTCAAAGTCTTTGGAGAAGTCCACCTGCCCATTCAGGTTGGTACCCGCACAGTGTGTGTTAACTTCATCGTTGCAGATGTGGCAGAGAACGCCGAAGCCATCCTCTGTCATCCATTCGTTCTCGAATCAGGGTGTGAGTACATTGTGCCGGGGAACGCACACTTCCGTGAACCTGTCAGAGGCGACATGGTGCTAAGCCCAACTAAAGGATTAATTGAGAAGCATTGTCTATTGGTGGTACGGGTTGTGGTTGACGCACAGGCCAATCCCCATCAGGCTCTACAACCCAGGAACAGAGTCAGTGAAAGTAAATCCGCTATCGCCGGATTCCTCCAGGCAGCAGATGTTGTTCATCCCACTGATATTTCTTCCATGTAATCACAAACTAGTCTCATCTCCCCAGCGGTTCCTGCTCACTTACGAACATTGTGGGATGGCTCAGCTCCTTAGTGCCTACGGGAATGTCTTCTCTACTGGATCCACTGATATTGGTCGCACTAGTCTTGTACAGCATGACATTCAGACGCTGCCTGGGCCCCCTGTGAAGCAGCAACTGCGGCGGATGGCATTCGAAAAGCAGCTCAATGCAGACCAGCAGATCCAGCAAAGTCTTGAAACTGGAGTAGCCTCTCCAAGCCATGGCAGCTGGGCTTCACCGATAGTCATGATACGCAAAAAGGACCAGACATGCTGTCTATATGTGGACTACAGGGCTCTAAATGAGCGTACCATTAAGGATGCATATCCTCTTCCTCGTATCCAAGACACTCTTGATACCCTGTCGACGGCCAAATCGTTTAGCTCTTTGGACTTAGCGTCAGGCTACTGGCAGGTAGAGCTTAATCCAAGTTCCCATTAAGGCGGCTGCTTTCTGCAGCAGGAAGGGCCTCTTTGAGTGGAATGTGAGCCCTTTTGGGCTCTGCAATGCACCAGTCCAAGAATGGCCCCAGCCTACCTGCGTTTCAGAAGTCCGTCAGTTCGTCGGCCTGGCCTCGTACTACCAACGATTTGTAAAAGATTTTGCTGCTGTAGCCAAGCCCCTTCATGAGCTTACAAAGAAGCATGCTTGTTTCCGGTGGATGCCAGAGTGCCAGGAGGCGTTCAAAGAATTAAAGAAGCTACTCACCACCGTGCCCGTCTTGGGCTATCCACTCGACAGCGGCGACCTCATCCTCGATACAGACGCTAGCAACAAGTATTGGAGCCGTCATGTCCCAAATGCAGGACTGTGAGGAATGTGTACTAGCGTATGGGAGCCGGCGGCTGTCCTCCACCGAGCAAAACTATTGTACCACACGGAGGGAGCTACTGGCAGTAGTGGAGTTCACTACACACTTCCGTCAATACCTGCTTGGAAGACTCTTCATTGTGTGCACAGACCACAGCAGCCTTCGGTGGCTCATAAGGATGAAGGAACCAGAAGGTCAACTGGCGAGGTGGCTCGAGAAGCTTGGGGAGTATAACTTCAAGGTCATACATCGTCCAGGACGCCACCACAAAAATGCTGACATCCTGTCCAGGAGGCCCTGCTGCCAGACTTGCCCCTGCACTATACAGGACCCTACCCAGAACATTGACCATTTCAGGCACCAGGAGTGCGGTGTGACCTCGGCCCCAGCATAGCTGATTACGCCGTGGAAGCTACTTCTATGGAGCTCTACTCAGCGGGGGTAGGAGAAGACCCCAGCCTACAGCCTGCACTCCCTGGAGCTTCTGGAGCTGCCTTCGACATGGAGTCGAGTCATCGGGACAGTGAAGATGACACGTCGGAAGTGGAAAAGGTTCACCTCACCGATGCAAGTGACACTGTTCTATTCCATGGATGGACTACTGAGGAATTACGTCAAGCTCAGGCTGACTCTGACATGGGCCCCGTCAAGAGATGGCTCGAGAAAGGACAGGAACTCCCATCGTGGGGAGATGTGTCACCTTTCGAGCCAGCGACTAAGGCCTATTAGAGCCAGTGGAAGAGACTGTATGTCAAGGATGGCATTCTCTTATGGCGCTTCTACTGTACCGAAGGCACAGTGTTTCACCCACAGATACTTCTACCTTGTGTGTTCCGGAAGGACATCATGAAGCAGATGCATGACGGCCCAGTAGGCGGTCACTTTGGCGTGGAACGCACACTTGCCTGGCTGCAGACAAGATACTACTGGTACCGAATGAGCGAGGATGTCACCTTAAGGTGTCGTACATGTACCAGCTGTGCCGCTAAAGCCAGACCTCAAAGGAAGCCCCAAGCCCCTATGGGCACTGTCCACGTGGGAGTACCTATGGAGAGGATCACCATTGATCTCATAGGCCCCATGAACGAGACAGAACGCTACAATCGCTACATATTGGTGGTTCAAGACTATTTCACAAAGTGGGTGGAAGCCTATCCTCTGCCCTACGATCAAGCCATGACAGTGGCTGAAGTTCTGACAGCTGAATGGGTGTGTCGCTATGGAGCCCCACAGACACTCCACAGCGATCAAGGCTCCAAATTTGAGTCTGAAGTCTTCAAAATAATGTGTGAACTGTAAGGAATCCAAAAGACTCACACAACCCCTTTGAGACCGCAATCTGACGGAAGATTTAATGCCACTCTACAGAAGATCTTAGCCACCACCACAGAACGTTGTCATTGGGACTGGGACCTCATGATTCCATGTGCCGTGATGGCCCATAGAGCAACAAAGCACAGCTCAACAGGGTCCACTCCGAACATGATGCTCCTTGGAAGAGAAGTAACAGAACCCATCGACCTGGTGGCTGGCTTGCCACCCGATCATGAGCACGCCAAGACCCCTCCACAGTATGTTGCACAGCTACGAGACAGATTGGAACTTGCTCACCAGATTGCAAGGGAATCGCTGGGTCAGTCTGTGGAGCGTGCCAAAAAGCAGTATGACAAGAGTTTTGCAAGGACACACTACAACGTTGGTGACACAGTATGGTACTTAATTAAAGGAACAAAGCGGGTGCGGGACAAAGTCAGGAGGTTCCTACCATCCTATGTGGGTCCTTACTTCATACTGGGACAGCTGGACGACTTGGTTTACCGGAGCCGAGAACAAAGGTGAAGGTAAGTTCATCACAACAAACTCAAGCCGTACAACTCCCGCACAACTATAGACAACAGCTGGGTTACAGGTGCTAAGACTAGTAGTTGTAAAAGTAGTAGTAAACAATGCCACTTTATATGAATGTGGCAATGTGTATGTTGTCTCATATATCATGGGCAGGAGAGGCTCTAACAAACCACCTGTTGTATAATTAAGCAATAATGCACAAGGGGGGGTGTTATATGGCCAATATACCAAGGCTAAGGGATGTTCTTAAGCACGACACAATGCAGAGTGCCTGGATACAGCCCTTAGCCGTGGTATATTGGCCATATACCACAAACCCCCGAGGTGCCTTATTGCTATTATAAACTTGTTACCAACGTAATTAGAGCAGTAAAAATAAATGTTTTGTCATACGTTAACCTCAAAGCCGGTGTTTGGAGGATATATTGGCACAGTTTGCTAACAACACCCGTGCCAATATATCCTCCAAACACCGGCTTCTCTGGCATTATCACTTCATTATAAACTGGGTGGTTCGAGCCCTGAATGCTGATTGGCTGACAGCTGTGGTATATCAGACCGTATACCACGGGTATGACAAAACATTTATTTTTACTGCTCTAATTACGTTGGTAACAAGTTAGCCGCATTTGCATTTGTATAAGCTGTTTTCTAGTGACATTTATCTGGATACATCCATAACAATGAGCTAATGAGGCGCGATTTCACCTGGCATAGAAAATGTGCTCACTCGTCAGGACACTGTTGTTCAGAGGAGCTAGCCAACACAGCTATCACTTAAAATTGAAGCTGGAAATACTGCAAACTAGCTGCATTTCGTTTCGTTTTACCTTTTTTGTATATATCCATAAAAATGATGCCAGCTGATTCATGATTTCGACTGGCTGAGAAACAATACCTGTCTGTCTCGTCCCGACTCCCGACACATTCATTACTATGGGACAGCTGGAGATAGAATTTGAATATTGAAACAATGTTGCAAATGTCGGAGAGACAGACAGCAAGGTTTATACAAATCTCCGCTGTTGAAAACAAAATGGGAGATAATGTCTAAATGCTTTTTATAGTGGAGATCAAGTTTATAAAGTGCCTGGCTGGGCTGATGAGACAGTGGATTGCGCAGTCAGATGGAACAGAATAAATAGGCATTTTAACGTCATAGATTTAACTTGTGGAATAGACACTGGCTGGAATGCGGTTTTAACCAATCAGCATTTAGGATTAGTCCCACCCGTTTTATAATTTACGACACATTCTCTCACCTTGTGCTCCCATTTCAATGGGTCCATTTGTCACGCCCTGGCTCTGGGGACACTGTTATGTTGAGCCAGGGTGTGTAATTCTATGTATTCTATTGCTATGTTGGGAGTTCTAGTTTGTATTTCTATGTTGGCCTGAGTGACTCCCAATCAGAGGCAACGAGTGTCAGCTGGTTGTCTCTGATTGGGAGCCATATTTAAACTGTCTGTCTTTCCCTTTGTGTTTGTGGTTTCTTGTTCTTATTTGGTTTGTGTTCAACCGTAGACATCACGTTATCGTCTGTTGTTTTGATCGTGTGATCATTCGCTAAATAAATATGTTCACCTTCAACGCTGCGCATTGGTCCTCCTCCTTAGACGATCGTGACAGAAGAAACCACCAGAACTGGACCAAGCAGCCTAGTGAGGAGCAGAGAGGGTGGACTTGGGAACAGTGGAGGAAGAGCTTCGACTGGGTCAAGCCGAATGAGGAGCTGAATGGCGGAGATTGGAAGCAGAAGAGCGAGAGTTGGGCGAGAATTATAGAGGCCTGGCCCACGGGGAAGAGAGACTCCCAGAAATTTTTTAGGGGGGGGCTCACGACGTCGGGGCAGCAGGAGGCCGCGATGGAGCGGCCCAGCGGGTTGCCAGAGGAGGCCGCCAGGTTACGGGGGCCACTGGTCGAAGAGGGGATGGTGGATGTAGAGGCACGGCGAGAGGTACTGGCGTGTGTTGCCAGTCCGGTCCGGCCTGTTCCTGATCCCCACGTAGGGCCAGTGGTGTGTGTTCCCAGTACGGTCCGGCCTGTTCCTGCCACTCGCACCAAGTCAGTGGTGCGGTTCGTCAGCCCGGCACGGCCCGTTCCTGCTCCCCGCACCAAGTCAGTGGTGCGCTTCGTCAGCCCGGCACGGCCCGTTCCTGCTCCCCGCACCAAGTCAGTGGTGCGCTTCGTCAGCCCGGTCCGGCCCGCTCCTGCTCCCCGCACCAAGTCAGTGGTGCGTTTCGTCAGCCCAGCTTGGCCCGTTCCTGCTCCACGCACCAAGTCAGTGGTGCGCTTCGTCAGCCCGGCTCGGCCCGTTCCTGCTCCCCGCACCAAGTCTACGGTGCGTGTCGCCAGCTCGGCCCGGCCTGTTCCTGCTCCCCGCACCAAGTCAGTGGTGCGTTTCGTCAGCCATGTCCGGCCCGTTCCTGCTCCCCGCACCAAGTCAGTGGTGCGTTTCGTCAGCCCTGTCCGGCCCGCTCCTGCTCCCCGCACCAAGTCAGTGGTGCGTTTCGTCAGCCCTGTCCGGCCCGCTCCTGCTCCCCGCACCAAGTCAGTGGTGCGTTTCGTCAGCCCTGTCCGGCCCGCTCCTGCTCCCCACACCAAGCCAGTGGTGTGCGTCGTCAGTCCAGCACGGCCCGTGCCTGTTCCCCACACCAAGCCAGTGGTGTGCGTCGTCGGTCCGGCACGGCCCGTGCCTGTTCCACTGGTGCCTGGTCCGGCACCGGTCAGATGCGTTACGCCGGAGCTAGAGCAATCCACTCCATCAGTGTGCAGTCCAGCTCCGGCCAGCGGGGCCAGACCGGACCAGGGGTACTTTGGGGGGTTGGAGAGGGAGTGGGGATCAGGCCCGGAGCCGGATCCGCCGCCAAGGCGGAGTGCCCACCCGGTCCCTCCCCTGTGGTATTTAGTTGGCGCGGTCGGAGTCCGCGCCTTTAGGGGGGGGGTACTGTCACGCCCTGGCTCTGGGGACACTGTTATGTTGAGCCAGGGTGTGTAATTCTATGTATTCTATTGCTATGTTGGGAGTTCTAGTTTGTATTTCTATGTTGGCCTGAGTGACTCCCAATCAGAGGCAACGAGTGTCAGCTGGTTGTCTCTGATTGGGAGCCATATTTAAACTGTCTGTCTTTCCCTTTGTGTTTGTGGTTTCTTGTTCTTATTTGGTTTGTGTTCAACCGTAGACATCACGTTATCGTCTGTTGTTTTGATCGTGTGATCATTCGCTAAATAAATATGTTCACCTTCAACGCTGCGCATTGGTCCTCCTCCTTAGACGATCGTGACACCATTCCACATTCCTGGCTTGAAGCAGATGTCCTTCAAAACACAGCCGGGTGCAACTTTGCTAAACTATGTACAGTAAGTAAGTGGATCTTTTGTATTTAAGGCCAGGCTGAAATGACATTTTTGCATCTACCTATCCATTTTGAGAATTGTTGATATTTTGGTCCATTAATATCAGTTTTTTTTTTTAAGTCAACATAGAAATGTTAACTTCATACATTTATATTTTCTTTAGTTGATCATACTACTGTCACTTTTAACCACTTTAAAATTGACATACAACAATTTCTAAGCTCACTACATGAAATTACACATAATTTAAAAGCCTATTTCATAGAGAATGTTACAAACTGGACTACATTTAGTCATTTACTTTGAAGAGATGATTGGGTCTAAATAGGCGTTTGGTAGTCTACATTCAGTGCACAATGGTCTGATAGGCTTATGAATTTATTGGTCCAGGACAACATAATAATGACAATCCAGGAACGCTCCTACTTGGTGAAATCATGATGTGGGTACTTGTCTTTAACTGCCATTTCCTGAATGTCAGACTCTTCCCACAGGCCAACACATTTTTCTGTTTCAAAAGCTGCATTCACCTAATTTTGTGTGGTTATCCTTAGATATATTCTTCAGACTTGCCCAGAGGGAATTGTTGATATGTTGTCAATTTTGTCTTGTCGATTTCTTTGGAAAAATACATAAACGTGCATATCTTTAGTATTTTACAGATAGAAAGATTTCAAAAATATTTATCCACAATCTGCTCTGGATAAATCCGGTTCTGGAGTGTGTTAACCAAATTCAACCAAAATATTTTAACTGACTTCAAGTGTCCAGAAAAAATGTATTTGCGTGATATGCAAATATGTGCATATTTCGCCTAATTTGCATATTTCAAGAAAATATTTCAGAAAAATTATTATACAAAAAAGTATTATATTTGTGTCTACATTTAACTGGTAAAGTTGGACTGTGATATGATTACGGGGGGATTACCCTATGAGGGTGTGATGTCTTCCTCTTATGAAAATTCAATTCCAAATGTTTCCTAAACAAGATCGCAAGCGAGGCGTATTTGTGTTTAGACATAGCGTTTGGGCAGCGGCGGAGCCTTGGCGCAAAAAGGGATGTGGAATGATGACTGTAACACATGCAATGGAATTTGAGTCATGATAAGATAAATATACAAAATTGAGGTAAGATGGTAAACATTTTTCTAGCACTTCAAAATAAACTCGCTGCATAAGGAGTTTACTGTATTGTGTACTTATACACTGGTATTTATTTTTGCTAAATGTTGAATTTATTCCATGAGAACAATAATACCCAAATAGGCTATGAGCTGAACATACATTTTGGCCCCCTCAGATGTAGGGCCTCGTGTTTTCCTATTATTACGGTAACAGGGGGCATTCCTTGTCACGTGATCAGCGAGAGCATCTTTTTGGTCCATTTTGGATGATAGCTGAGCCCTTGTAGCTAACCACGACACCCGAAAATGACAAAATTGCAGTTTTTAAACGTATTTTTGACCGAGCGGCTTATGCTCGCTGCCCAGGAGATCTATAAATCTGTCGAAGACACGATTTTGGAATATCAAGAGGAGATTGCGCTCAGGGAGAGGGAGAACGACCATCTGAGACGCAGGCTCCGAGACGCTGGAATTGAAATATGGCCAGGTTAGTAGCTAGGCTATCATGCTAACGTTAAAGTTAGCGCCGAAACGGTACGCTAAACCAAATTGGTTGCTAAACTGTTGTAATGTTATATACATTGCTAAGCAACTAAAAGGCAATTTATTTATTTTATATTTTACACCCTTGTATTAACGTTGCGAGAACTAACTAGCTAGTTAATATTTTTCAGAAAGCTAATAACGTTAGCTACGCTAACGTAGCTAGCTCCTTCACGTAACTAGCCACCTTTGTTCGTTAGCCAGCTAACTATCTAGCGAGCTGCTGATATTCAGACTATCAATTGACTCATCTGTTTTGTTGATATAATTTCTGAAATCTGGTTCCTGTGATACGTAAATGTAGTTGATCTTATTTTTCCTCGATCGTAAATCATATGACTGCCAAGTCCCTCCCTCTCTTCCATCCAGACCGTCAGTCCATGGCACTATTGGAGGAGGAGGATGGCGAGCATCCTCGCCGGGAGTGGAGCCCCAGCATGGGCCATGAGGAACGTGTCCCCATCCTGATCAAGGAGAAACGGGAGCTCAGGTCCAGCCAGGGGGACGAGCAACTCCGCGGCCATGGATCCTGCAGCACCCCAGAGGCCATGTTCACCCCTCCCCGCGTCAGCAACGAATTCCCCCAGGACCCTCCCCACTCCTCTAACCTGCCCCAGATCCCGTCGGTGGAGAACAGAGAGCGGGACCCTGGTCCCAGAAGCTCATCCAGACACGTCAAGTCAGAAGTGTCCCACAGAGGCTCATCATCCTCATCTTCGTCCAACAGCGGCCCGCAGCCCCTCGCCACGGTCAACCCCAACTGCTCCAACGAGAACAACATTGACATCATCGGGGTGGAGAACGGAGGACAGATGGGGTCGGGGTCTGGGTCTAAAGGACGAGCTGGCGGGAGCAGAGGTCAGGGCTCCCATTTAGGCAACCAGGGCAGTAACGCGGCCGCAGAGTGTGGAAAATCCCCCCTCCAGGTGCACGTGTCGTCATTCTGCTGCAAGGTGTGTGGGGAGGCATTCAGCCACGTTGGACACCTGCATGTCCATGTCCAGGTGCACACCCGGGAGAAGCCGTACCGCTGCGGGGTGTGTGGGAAGTGCTGCAGCTCCTCCGGCAGGCTCCAGGAGCACGCTAGGAGTCACACTGGAGAGAAGCCGTACCGCTGCCAGATCTGTGGGAAGGGATTCACCCAGATGGCCCATCTGAAGGTCCACATGCGGATCCACACGGGAGAGAAACCATACAGCTGCCCAGTGTGTGGCAAGTGCTTCAGCCGCTCCGACAAAATCAAACGGCATCTCCAGACCCACAGCCGTGAGGGCACTTACTTCTCAGGGCAGTAAGATGAGGGAGACCACCGGTGGTTGTGGGTGGTTGTTGTTAATGAACGACTGAGTATGTATGAATGAATTACTGATAATGGGAAATTTTTTAAAAGCTAAAATTGCTGCCACTAAGACGGCTTGTTATTTTTCTCTTTCTCTCAAAGAGCTAGGGATTCTGCGACTTTCTTAGAGAATGTTTTATCTCCTAGTTAACACTTCTCTACATGCCATAGTTTCTCTCTCTCATGCAGTAGATTTGTATTGCATTATAGTCAATTTAGTATGTGTCCATTTACTTACTTTTTGTACTTGTCACTGAATGGGATAATAGGGAATCTTTAAAAACACCAAATTGAACGATTTAGTAGCTAGTCTTTCTGAATGATTTAGTCTTTCTTTTAGTAATGAACTTGGTAGCATGATGATAATGAAGTCTTCCACTATGCGCCTTGAAACGGAGATGCATTCAGGATTGCAACAATAAGCAGCATTCCAAAACATGGTGGTCTTGCCCCAGACGATTTGCACAGGGCCAATTTACACATTGTATGTTTCTAAAAGCAATGGTTGTTTTAAATGTCTTCATTTCCTTTTTTATAAAGTATATCACAGCTTCTTCTAAAAACCCACTAGTCTTATTTCCTCAGTCGGCTGGCTGAAATACGTAAGATGTTTTTATTTGTATTTTTAATGAACAATGGCTAACCGTAAGGGCATTGTCTATAAACAGTTGTCCATTCCTTGAGTTTACAAATATGGATATAAGTACACATATTAGCCATTGCTAGTTAGGTTTAGCAATAGCCCTGCCTGCTCTATTCAAGGTTTCTGTATGGTTAGTCACCTAAAGCCTCCCTGATACAACCGATGTTAAAGGACCATTTGCCTCTCTCCTTCGTCATTGTTTCAGAACTGTATGCTGCCACTTGAATTTCAGTCGACTAACTTATCTTACAATAAAAACATACTATTATCAAAGAGGATTCAATACGAAGACTGCTATTTTGCAAGAAATGTTGCCTTGATAAGGATCGTTTGATAATTCTGTATATGACCACTATCTATCCCCCACCTCTGATGCAGATAGAGTTTGTGTGTGTCCTCTATGACCTGCACTACAGCATTTGACCAACACTGTGCAGATTCCCCAGCTGAGCCATACAGTATTACCCTGTATCTATCTGAGCTGCTTGTTCCCGATGGTTGGTCCTGAGCTCGGCACTGCACATACTGTATATTCACTTTAGTAAAGATCTGTTCTTGATGGCCAGTTGTTTGGAAGTGTAACAGATGTTTTTTTACAGACACAGATCAAGCCTACTTCTGGAATAAAAAGCACTTTAGATAGTTTATATTGCAAGTGCTTGTAATCTAGGAGTAGACTTAATCCAAGTCTATCCCTTAGTTTTTATCAAAACTTGAGCAGTGACTAGCTGAGAACGAGGCTCATGAACAAGCAGTAGGCCTATGGCCTGGACCAGAAACAAACCATTGCCCCATCCCCTAGGCAAGTGTCTTGGGCAATAGGGGCTTGGGGTTGTTACTAGTAGACAGGGTCTTTATCTCTTCTCAGGACTGAGGCTACAACAGTAGTTCCTCTAACTCAACCAGCATCCCTCCCCCTCCTCTCTCCCACACAGTCTATTCTGGGACACTGCTGCTCCCACACACATTACTGTACAGTGTTTTATCATTGTGTAATAAATGTAATTTTTAAATAAAGTAGTCATTGAGTACCTTGTCTAAATTGGCATGTTCCCTCCTCCATACACATAAGGCATGGCTGTGCTCTAGATTGAGTAGTGTTAGTGCGCATTATTATCTGATAGCGGATCAAATGAAAGTTTGTTTGAACACAAATTAACAACTTAACCTATAAGTACAGTGTAACCAACTTTTATATCTTATCTTTTATCTCTGCATTGTTGGAAATGGACCTGTAAGTAAGCATTTCACTGTTAATCTACACCTGTTGTCTACGAAGCCTGTGACAAATAAAATTTGATTTGGACAGCCACTGCAGAGAAGCTGAATCCCCAATCAAGATGGTGCTACCCACACCTATCCAATCCTCCGATCTACAAAAGTGGCTAGGGGTTGATTTGGGATTCAGGGTTTAGGTACCACATATATTCTGGAATAGATGTATCTATAGAGCCTCACGATGGAGGTGTCATAATACCCATAAAACCTAGCGGTAAAACGGAAATGGTTCCAATTGTTTTTCCACCATTCATCCACCAATGAAATTAGCATTTCATTTTTGGGGGTAAATGCAGGCGAATATAGGGTAGGCCTACACGAAATAGCCCATATTTAAAAATAAAATAAATAAATTGGTCATTTAGCAGACGCTCTTATCCAGAGCGACTTACAGGAGCAATTATGGTTAAGTGCCTTGCTCAAGGGCACATCGACAGATTTTTCACCTAGTCGGCTTGGGGATTAGAACCAGCGACCTTTTGGTTACTGGTACAACGCTCTTAACCACTAAGCTACCTGCCTAAAGTTTTTCTAAAATCCCCTATGAGAAAAATGAATGGTGGAAAAACAATTGGAACCATTTCCGTTTGACCGAATGGTTTTATGGGTATTATGACTCATACTGTGGTACTCTACTAATCTATTGTATTCTATATGCTAATTGATTTGTCTCTGATGATACAATTATTTAAACTGCCCCAGGTTCTCAAGTACTTACGGTAACATTTCCTGATTGCGTCACATTCTCAAAGCGTTTGGTTAGTTGTCTCGAAGATTATCTATTATATTGACAAGATGGTCGACAGACCGCTTTAACAATGGAAATACATGTCTGCAAAGGCAGCGAGATCAGGTGGGAACATTCTAGCCCATGATCTTTTGTGGCAAACATATCAATCACAGGAGGTTGGTGGTACCTTAATTGGGTCCCCTCAGAAGCCTCCACTGATATAAATATGCTCAAACAACCAGAGATTGGAACCGGTTCAGGGAACGAAAGTGATCCCTAGTGTTCCAGAACAACCGTTATTCTGAACTCTTGAGAACCGGGTAATGTTATTTTCTGTTCCTAAAGCTAGTATACAATTCTGTAATTCAGTGAAGTTATGACGCTAGTAATAGCCTAAACCACAAGTGTCAAACTAATTCCACGGAGGGACGATTGTCTGTGGGTGTTCGCTCCACCCTTGTACTTAATTTGTGGTCCTCTGTAGCTCAGCTGGTAGCGCACGGCGCTTGTAACGCCAAGGTAGTGGGTTCGATCCCCGGGACCACCCATACACAAAAAAAAAAAATATGCACGCATGACTGTAAGTCGCTTTGGATAAAAGCGTCTGCTAAATGGCATATTATTATATTATTATTAATTGATGAATTAAGGTTACTAATTAGTAAGGAATTCCCCTCACCTGGTTGTCTAGGTTTTATTTTTAAGGAAAAAACCCGCAGACCGTTGGAATGAGTTTGACACCCCTAACATAAACACATTCCAATTCACATCATGTCATGATGCTCAGCGCTTCAAGGCAAGCCTCTTCCATGTCCACCCCTCTCTCTCGCTCTCTCCCCACCCGTGAAATATCTGTCGCATATCGCCCCTGCACGTCTTTGTCCATCAAACATGTAGACAACTAGCTTACCCGGGCAAGCTGCTCTAGCCACGCTAATTGGTGGAGTAAATGAATGAGCTAAAATGTAAAACTGTTGATTTCACGGGTACAAAATTAAGGAAAAGTAACTATAAGAACAGTTACTTTTTTGGGTTCGAACTGGTTCAGAACTTTATGCTGGTTGGAACACTGGGACAAGAACGAAATACATAGGGGTTCTTCTCAGAGAGGAACGATTGGGGGGGAAAAAATCGGTTCCGACCGGTAACAACCTAAGCAGTATGAAACGTTTATTAGATCAAATAAGCCTCACCTATCAAAATAGCAATTCACTTTTATATCTTGACCAAATTCAACACTCTCATTGCCCCTCATAAAAATAAACTCCTCACTAGACACTTGGTCTGCTTAACGCTTTAAATGTGCGCGGACAGATTTTGGGGCGGAGTCGACCCTCCCGCTTCGCATCTTTCTCTTTGCTTGTGTTTAGCTGGTGAATGTGCCCTGGCTGCCATCGACCCTCAAAATGACGAAATTACAGTTTCTAAATGTCTTTTTGACAGAAAGGTTGATGTTAGCTGCCCAAGAGATATATAAACAAGTGGAAGAGACAATATTGGAATACCAGGAGGAAATATTCCAGGGAAAGCGAGAGAATGATCAACTGAGACGCAAGCTTCACGAAAATGGGATTCCATGGCCAGGTTAGTAGCTAGTTTGCTCTGAAGAAAATAACCCAAGGGGGCATTCTGCCTTATCTCTAGGGTTCTCAGCCGACGACAGCTGGGACCATGTGAACTACAATCCCGACGCTCTGTTTTAACGTTTAGAGACGTTAATAATCCTCGCGTGCTATATGGGTTTGTTAACATAAGGCCCTCTAATTTCACAGCACAATTTCACATCAGATCAAAAACAACAAAAAATCACAATAGCAAAATAAACTATTGGTGTACCCTTTTAACACGGTTGCAGCTGACAGTGTTTTCAGTTACAACACTTTTCTGGGGGTCCTTTTACACACGGGGCCCAGTTTTTCAAGAGTTATGTATCTGATTTAGCATATTGGGTAGGATTAAATGAATTGAAATATAATAAATAGAACGGACAAACCATTGACTTGAATGGGGACACCCGTTCTATTCATTCTATTTCAATGCATTTTAATCCTATTTGATAGGCGAAATCCAGATAATTTTTTGAAAAACTGGGCCAAGGTGTTCGGCGCATGCTAGATATCTAATTAGCACAGGTGGTCGCCTCAGTCTTCTGTCAACAAGTGCTGTAACCTGGAAATATGGCCTTGTTGGAATCCTATCCTTATAAAGGTTTGTAGTAATTTAACCTTTTAGTTTTTTTTTTTAAATTCTTACTCGCTGATATGAAAGATAAGGTCCTTATGTTTCCAAAACCGTACCACAAGTGATGCGTGTTAACGTTCAGACCGAGTGTCGGGGCTCTTAACAAATCTCCCGGACAGAATATACTTTTGTGAATAGGCTATTAGATAGCTAACGTTTGCTGACTAGCAAGCTGTGCTAGCGATGATAATGAGCACACATTATGTAGCTAGCTATTTTATCTGAAATACATTTACATTTACATCATTTAGCAGACGCTGTTATCCAGAGCGATTTACAAATTATGCTTCAGCTAACCAACTATTAATGTGCCATATGCCAGTGGCTATCTTGGCAGATTAGCTAACTTAACTATTTATCTGCAGAGACGGCTAGCTAGCATTCATGCCTAGTAAATCCCAGAGTTGTCAATAAATTACATTCTGTGTATTGTGTTTCGTGCTAGCTATGAGTTGGTTAACTCAAACTCAGAACTGTGTGGTAGCAGGTCGTGATGCTCAAGTAAAGGTGCGTAGCTAACAACACATTTTCCCTTCTTGACTTTCAGACCGAGAGCCATTTTCTCCTGTAGAATCCGAGGAGGAGGAGGAGGAGGAGGAGGAGGGAGACATTGGGCAGAAGCAGGATCCAGAGCCCAGACAGACTTTGGAGAAACAGGAGGGAAGGGCCAGAAGGGAGGAAAAGCTGTTTAGGGGACTGGACTCTCTGTCTAGATTCACTCCTTCCAATGGAAACGATGACTATGATCAGTACCCACCTCAACCCACCTCACATCAGTTCCAAAAACAAACTCACACTGGGAAGAGAAGAGAGGGAGGCTCTCTATCAAGCTCAACAACCTCCAAACCGATAAAAACAGAGACTGATAGATTGGGCGTCTATCCATTGGATGATCCATCAAGTGACCCTAATACACTCTCTTCAGTGAACCTTGACCTTTCGGCAGCACAGAGTGAGAACAGTGTAAGTATGATGGGGGTGGAAGGTGGCGACGAACTACTGTCAGGATTTGAGGCTCTACAGATACCGCTACACACGGAAAATTCAAATTCCCTTCAAATCCACCACGACACATCATTGTGTTGCAAGGTGTGTGGGAAACCCTGTAGACATATGGGCCATTTAAACGCACATGTGCGAATGCACACGAAAGAGAAGCCATTTCTCTGTGGGTTGTGTGGTAAGTCCTTTAGCTCGTCTGGGAGGTTGAAAGGCCACCAGAGGATTCACACAGGGGAGAAGCCCTACCAGTGTCATATCTGTAGGAAACGTTTCAATCAGACAGCGCACCTGAAGGTACACCTGAGAGTCCACACAGGGGAGAAACCGTTTAGTTGTCCTGTCTGTGGGAAGAGCTTCAGTCAGTCCAACAAGGTGAAAAGACACCTTGTGACACATTCTAGAGATGGATCGTTCCTACCAGGCCTATGAGGGAGATGTTGTTGTTTAAGGAAGGGAAATGTACAGGATGGGGGTTCCAATTCTATTTCAAATCCATTCTGGTGTAGGAAATGTTTAGGCTAGCTGTTTATAATGAGGATCTTTTCCATGTGTCTTCCCAAGTGTACAATGCATTCTGAAAGTATTCAGACCCATTCACTCTTTTCACATTTTCAATGTTACAGCCTTATTCTAAAATTGATTACATTAAAAATGTTCTTCATCAATCTACACACAACACCCCATAATGACAAAGCGAAAACATGTTTTTTAGCAAATTTATAAAAAACAGAAATACCTTATTAACATAAGTATTCAGACCCTTCGCTATGAGACTCA